AAGTTCAAACCAAATGAATACATATTAAAGATATTTTGACGCTTAAGTATTAAATATTCAATAAATGTAATTATTTATATTCTTACCTTATTTTTATATTTATAGATTTCAGAGTTTGATTAAGACAGTTCAATTAGGACTCAATGTCCCATAAGTATGCTTTACTTTTGTTAATTATGTTGAGTTTATATTAATGACTTTAATATTATTTTGAAGATTTTAGAATAATACTATTGATGAAAAATTGACCAACTTCACTTTGAAATGCATGGAATGGTCTATACGGTCTAATATTAGATGTTAATTACAAATTAAATCATTGTCAAAACTCCCAAAGTAATCAATTATCCATAGTAATAGTTCTTTAAAAAAAATGACAAAACTAATTAAAAGATTTTACAAAGTTTTGGTTAGAACATTCATAACTTAATTCCTAAAAGATTATATCGTACTAACTTTACTTTTTTTAATTTACATGTAAAAAAGTTTATCTATGTTACAAATCTTATCCTTAAATTTCTTGCAAGTAAACTATACAGCTAGCAAAAGCAACCTAAACTATGTCGAGGCTAACAGTAGTTTAAAGTGAAGGGTCCCACAAATGCACGTACAGTATTTGGGCCTTTATTTAGGAGAAAGTAATTGGCCCAAAAGTTACATTATTTGAATAGGCAGAACATGACATATCATTGTCCGAAAACTTTTTACGTATAAATCGAAGAACATGATAGCATTTTATTTAGGATAACAATGTTTCATAATCATGAAGAATAGTGGATTCCTATGCATCGAGTTCTGGAAAATTGAGTAGTTTCAAGTATGCCTAATATTTGTTTGATGTTCAATTAGACTACTAATAAACCAAATCTGCATATTTTATAGCTCAATGAGTAGTACTTTAGAATAATTCCATTGTTAATATTTTCCAAAAGTAAAAAATTGATGCAGCAAAAGGTAAGATAAAAGAGAAACAGCCTTTTTCTTCCTTTTGGTTTGCGCCATGGTAACTTTTATACCTGAAATTTAGTCCCCACAGTTGCACCATCTCTTAAAAATGCCTTTCAATAAACAAAAGAAGAGAAAGAAGAATAAAAGTTGACACTGAAGCAGGGAGCAAAGCGCATGTACTTTTCTGAAAGGTTAAACTCAAAGTGGACTACAAAGTTGTTTCTTCTGCATCTCATAAGTCAATTTCATCAGTGTTATTACAAAAAAATAATCATAAAAAATTAATTTTTATATCTTTTATAAAAGAAGAAAATAAATAAAAATAATAATATCAAATGTAAAAAAATTGTGTATACCAAAATATTAATTATCTTAATCAACTTCTAAACTTTATATATCTTTTCTGTCATGTGCTCAGTGCCTTTCTTTCTTTTTCTTCTTTTCTCTCTTCCATTCATCCATTCTTAAATTTACCTAACTAATAGTTTAAAATTGATTATTACTATAAATGTTAAAGTAAAGTTGGTCTAGCAGGTCGAAAAATCTCTAAAAATAATTACATGAAGCTAAAAAAAATTACCTATTTTGAATTGGATTACTTTTCACTTGCAATCTAAACAAGTTTAGTTGGATCGATCTATTTTATAAAATAAAAAATAAAATTAAAAAAGTAATATTAATTTTTAAACGATGATGTGTTTATTATAATTTTTATTTATGTATATGTTAAATTGTTATTAAAAATTTAAAATACATATTTAAGTTTTACCAAAATGATCCTTTTAACTTTTGTTTTCACCTGTACGAACGAGTCAGGTTAAAAAATAATTGTGCATTTAGAAAACGAGTTGAGATGCATTTTTTTTATGGTGAAAACTATTGTTTTGATATTAGTATAAAATAAACCATTATATTGATGGCATATTAATACTATTCTCCCATTATAATGGAATTTTATTTTAACAGTTTATATTAGTATTTATTGTCAAGCATTCTTTATTTTTACTTAAAGTTAAGATAGAATAAAACACAATGTAACTTTTGTAAAAAAAAAGTTAAAAATTTGATCAGTCAGATATGATCACATGTGAGAATTATCAGTATAAAAACTTTTAAATTTGATTAACTGTGAGTATGTATGAAGGCAATTTTAGTATTACTCTTTCGTTTTTCTTACAGGAAGAATCCAAACTAGAAAGGAGAATCGAAAGAAACTCATGTTTTAATGATAATAATATTTTTCACAATATTTTAATAACGTATCAATATGTAATTGGTCCAAATTAATGATTATGATTATTATTATTAATTATAAAATAATTTTAAATTAATAAAATAATATTAAAATATTAAAATAATATTAAAATATTGTTAAAAAAATATCCTATTTTAACATTGACTTAGTTCAGTATCACCACGCCTGTTGGTCTAAATTATCTTGATTTTTTTAGTTCTTCAAATAACTTTTCAATTTCCATGTAAATCAACCCTGACAATTTCTTGTCCACTAAAGTGGGAAAGAAAATAAAGTTAATTAGTTTCTCTATTAAAAATTTGATCTTATCTATCAAAATTATTTGTTTGGTCAGAAGAAGCAACGAAATAGAACAGTAGTTGAAATGAAGAAGGTAGGGGGAGTTGAACAATGCAGTGAGTTGAATTTGGTTAGCAAGAAAAGAAGGAAAAAGGGTGCATTGAGGTGTGATGTAATAGTAAATAGTAAGAGAAGCTGGTGTTAATAATTTTGCATTGTTCCAATGATTTAATCATAGCTGTGTCTGACAGTGATTCAGAAAGAGAGAGAAAGAGGAGAAAAAGTGATGGTCATGTCATGGTGGTGGGAAGAACGGATCCTGATATCTTCTGGGTTTCTTGTTTGAACTTCCAAAGGGTGAAAGAAGGTATTAAATTATGGTTGGAGGGTTAGATTTGAAACAATAAATAAGGGAAGTAAAATGGGTTGGTGTCATAAATGCATGCACACACACAAGTAGCATAGAAAAAGAAGAAGAAGATGGTAATGGTAATTATTTGTGTGGGAGTTTGTTGTTGTGATTCATTATATTGGGGTTTGGACGAGTGAGTTTTTCTAAGCCAAGAGCGTGGCTTTGTGGTTGTGGGCGTGATGAGTGCGACGTTTCACACGACAAAAAGGAAACATTAAATCATACTTCCTCTGCTGTGTCACTCACTATTTTTTCAATCAACTTAACATTTTCTATCATCCTCTAATTTTCTAGGTCAAAAGTTTTTTCTTTTTTACTTGATTTTTTGAAAGTCATTTGGTTGAGTTGAAGAGAAGATATGATACCTTGGATTCTTAAGTAGTGGAAGGAAGGTAGGTCCTTACTACATCAATGAAATAAAAAGATAAACTTAATTTCTATCTCTTTTTTCCCAGCAAAAACCAACTAAACTAAACCATTTTATTTACTGTAAAAAATTAGCTAATATAAATTATTCATGTTAATCTAACTGTGTCTTTTTTATAAAACCAACCCTTATACACATATGTCCTGTATTCTAGGTTTTACTATTGTAGTTTTGTTTTTTCTTTAAGAATTAAAAAAATGATAAAATCTGCATTTTTTTTGTCTATTGATTTTGACTATTGTATTAATACAGGAATATATTAAATATATTTTTCCAATCAATATCGTAATTCTGTCTTTATTCTCATCCTCTCTACATGACACGCACTTGAAAATTAAGGTAATAGTTGAGATTTTATGTAATGTGTGAAGTTAAATAACTACTGTGATAAATGAGTAGCAACCATAATACTTGGAGATATCATATAAGCCCTCTTATTATATAACCGATATTATTAGTTATATTCATGTGAAAGACAATGTAAAAGAAGAACTTTACTTTTTAAGGATTAATTTTGAATTTCATTAATTTTAGAGATTAGTTTTAAGTTTCATTGTTTTATAATCAAGTTTTAGATTTCATTGTTTCCAGTATTTTGATTACTAGTTATTAATAATTGAAATGTATATAATTAATTTTTTAAAATAAAATAAATTTATTTAAAACTGATATTTAAAACTAAAGTTAGATAAATTTAATTAAAAAATATTAATAATAAATTTATATATAAAATAAAATACATTAAATATACTATTACTTTATAAAATATTGAAATTTAAATTAATTATTTTAATTTTATATTTTTATTTTCATGATATAGAAACAAGTATATTAATAAAATATTACTTACTATTAAAAAATATAAAATTATATTCCATTGTACATTTATCAAATGTTAACATAATTGTATTGAAAATGCATTGTAACCTCTTCAAGATAAGGAAAGGCTTTTCTAGTAAATCAATCATGTGAATATTGTAGCAAAGGTTTCACATCTCTTCCATTTGCCTTAGGTGAGAAAGAAATTTTAGAAAAATTTTGTACATGAATGTAGTTTTCTTTTATTTAAATGAAAATTTGAATCAATATATTTGCTCACATCTCCTTGTGCTTAGAAAATGTAAAACCAATGTTTAAAAACCACTCAACAGAAAATCAAACATACAAATAATATTATCTCTCTTTCTCATATAAGCATATATTAATGAATTTAATAACTTTCATTAATGTAGATTTAAAGTCAAAATTCTTCACAATGGATTTTTAACTACAAGCACACCTAAATCTGGTTGACAGGTAGGTAACCATTCTTCACCTGCTTCTACATATTTCATTCCTTAGCCTATAATAACATAGGTATAGCCCCCTTTTAGATATATTCTTCTTTAAGCTTGTTTACACTTCATGGACTCCACTTTAGTATTTGCAGCTATTCAGTCTTTGTTCATAACCATAAACTGAAGCATGTAAAGACCCTCTAACCTGTTGCATTCAATTATAACCAAATTATATTTGTAAGTTTAATATTAAAGTATGGTTATTTAAACATTTTCAGACGCGCAATAATAAAAAAGTATTATTTATTCATTTTGATACAACAATAAAAGCTCAAACCATAAGTATGAGCTGTAATAATTTATGAAAAGCATCGAGGGAAAAAAATGTCCAAGTGTCGAAAGAGAGAGCTTGGTGAGACAGATCCAAGTGTGTTTATTGTTTTGTGGGCATCAGAATCGAGGATGTGAAAGGAAAAGAGAGGAAGAAGAAATAGAAAGAGTGATTTTCATCAAGAACGAGGGAAGAAGAGAACAACCATGATGATCCTACCTTTGATCTTTCTAAATATGCCCTTCTCCTTCAGGATCAGGAAGAATGAACCATCCAATCTCATTGCTTATCAAATCTTTTTCAGTCTCATCTCTGTTCTCTCTCATTAATTAATAATTAATTAATTAAACAATAATCAAGGCCACCTCCTCCTTCACCCTCTTCTCTCTCTTATTTATTCTCATGCTCCATCACATCTTAAATAGGCCACACCACAGACTTTCTCTTCATTCGCTTTGCTTGTGCTGTGCTTCATCTCATGTTGCATCTCTCTCTCTCTTTCTGTCTCTCTTCACTTCTTCACACGGGTTTAACAAAGGGGTGCTTGCAGAGTTTCTTGGCATTCTGTCCACCTCCACTTGATGTATGTTTCTTTCTCTTACACCTTTCACTCCTACGAGGAGGTGGACATACTGCCAACAGAGCTGTGTTGGCTGCTCTTTGTAAAGCCTTTCGTGATATATCTTTTTCAATTCTCAAATCCCTCCAGTGTTCTTTTTACTGTTAATTAGCATAACATGGTAGGTAAACATAACCCCACCATCCTTCTTCCTCGTTTTTTTCTAGTCTCATGTTTGGTTTTATGTGACATCTACACACACATGCTGGATTTTTACATGTCTGATAAAGGCTCCTGTAGGATATTGTCTCCAGCTATTTACATGAAGAATATCAGTTTAATTTTAACTTTCTTTTTTTGGTTTGGTGTTGGTTTTATTAACATTACGCTGTGTTTTTGTCTCTGAAGTTTTAATCTTGCAGGACACTCGGGGTCAGAAATGAAGGATATAGAACCTTGTTCTACTTTCTCCAAGTGTTGGAAAGTCGAAACCCAACAAATCTAGCTGCTTTTCTGTGGGTCTCAGTATACCCTACGAGTTTCCCATGGCATTGATGCCTTAGCCTATGTTTTTGTCTTTGTTTTTTTCATTGTGTTTTTGCAGTTGTTTGAAATTACTGGATCTAGGGTTAGAGGTTACACAGTTTGTAAATCTGCAATCCTCTAGGATTAGTGGGAATTTCTATTTTTGATGGCAGAAGCTTCATTGCTAGGATCTGTAGTTTCCATAACTGTAGTTTCCATAACTATCAATACTTTTGTAGGAGTGCATGCAGAAATGTTTTGTTCATATTTTACTTTTAGTTCACTTTTGAATCCATGATTTAATTATTTGGCTCTGGTTATTTGATTATTTTATGCGAACTGCACTGAGGATGGCTGCATGCATGATCTTCACTGTCTGTGTTCCCATTGTCTATTTGTAAGGGAAAAAATTGGTATCGCTTTGGTCCTGATGATTTTGATTTGCATATCCAGCTGCAGGCAGCACAGACTATAGATATTAGATGGTACTTTAACCGCTGGCATTAATTTTTATGACTGACCCTTCCCTATTGCCCCCTCTATTACTGAATACACTATACTTTTTTACAAAGTTACACGAGCCCTCTTATGATTGAAAACTCTGACATTACCACCTTATATATATATATATATATACCCACTAATTGAAAGGAAAAGTAAGCACATTTTTGCGGGTAGATAAATTCAAAACCACAGCACTACGTCTTGGAAGAAAGCTGAGTAGCCAAATAATACTAGGTTACTTGCAACACTCGGTACCTTCTGTTTTGTTCTCTCCTCTTGCCTTGCCTTGAAATGATATTAGGTTTTTCAACTTTTTAAAAGTCTAATAATAGATCAGTCAGCGCTACACCTTTCTATCAATAGGAAGCTTGAAAATGGATACTCTGCCTGGTACAGTTTGACTGAAAGTGATAAATATCTTTAGACAATATATGTGTATATATATATATATATATATTATGAAATGATGTGTAGTCTTTGTGATTAAAATTTTCATCCTAGGTGCCTATAAGCATGATTGTTTATCTCCTTTTCCACCTTTTTAGAATTTGACTTCTGTTTTATGCTAAGTTAAGAGAAGGTCTGAGGAGACTGCATTAAACATAATTCAAGAACTGATTTTGTTAGTACACCTATGTCTATGTTTTATATTAAAATAAAGTATTAAAATGTGAAATGGAAGGTAATGATGAATGTGATAGGAAATGTGATTGGGTAGTGTAAAAATTCACGACAGCAGAGTGAGTCTGTCTGAAATAGTGGCTGGCCCCTCAAAGATGCGGGATAGGTTTGAGTCGCTGCTGTTGCATCCCAACAGCTAGCAGCTATGGTAGGAGCTAGTTATGCAATGTTCATAGTAGATATAGCCTATGAACATAGTATGTGTTTTGGAGCCAACTTTTTGTACGACTAAATCCTTCAATTTAAATTGGTACAAGTGTACTCCTTGCAGAGTGCTGGGAATTAGCCTTAATTATGGGACCATCTCATTATTACTCCACTATTCCACATGTCTCTTTTGACCTCTGAATTCTTTCTCATCATATTTTACTCTAACCATCTATTCTGTTCCGTTCCGTTTGTTCATACAAAACAGTTATGTTTCAAGTTCAAAGGGTAAGGAAAAAGAATCGTGTGAAGAGGTAAATGAGTACTGTTTGAATAGGCCCTTCTTCCAAGCGAAGTGGACCATGAAAAAGTATAAAAATAGTTACGTGTGTTTGTAACCTGTAAAGGGTCTTGCCTCTTCCACCATGATGTTATTATTAGGCACAGCTTTTTATCCTGTGAGGTTTTAGGGTTTGTATTTTCAACATAAAATGACAGCCTTCCAAATGTTAATTAAATAAGTAAAATTTCATAAAAGCTAAAAATACTACTATGCTTTCTTAATTTGAAGAAAGAATTTGTTAGTCAAGACAGGCCTTTCAATGCATTTGTTTCACGCAATGTATAGAAATGGTTAGAATAGATTTTAACCATGGGTTGATATGATATTAAAAAATGAGTTTTTAAGTATAATTTAACTTTATAAAATTAATTTGTAAGATGTAGTGACCTCTCACTTTTATATTATAAATTTATATATTATAAATTTATATATTATAAATTTATATATTATAAATTTATATATTATAAATTTATATATTATAAATTTATATCTTTAGTTGATGTAAAATTTTTAAAAATAACATATTGAACTGTTTACACACTATACATGAGTATGAAAATATTTTGAAATTAAGTAAGGGTTTCGTTTAGTTCATAGTAAAATGCATAAAACTTAAAACTGAGCATAGAATAAAACATAAATCAGTTATCTGATTATCATTTGTTATATTCATAAATCCGTGGTGTGATTTTTATTTTTATATGTTTATAACTTACTATTGGATGATCTCTATGTTTCTGTCTCATAGTTTGACATCTTAGTGAGAGAAATGAGTTTGGATACACTGTTTTTGGAATGAAAGTTATTATGGTATACAAATATAGAAGGAAGAAATTAGTAAAATGAAATGGTGAGGTAAGGATGTATTTTAAACTGATTAAACGAGTGTAACATGATATTTAGAGAGCTAAAATTAGAAGTAGAAGACAACTGATATTAACTTTCGTATTTTTTAATGGATTAATTTCAATTGATTTCATTGTATTGAGATTATGAAAATGTTGATTTTATTATTAAAGACCAAACTAAAGCCTGGTTTACACAAAACTGTCCAAAAAAATAATAGAGAATACCCAATTACTACTAATCGTTAAAAATATTATCCCAAATATTCATGAATAATTTTTTTACTATTTTTCTTTCTTTTCTTCTATTTAATGTATTTCATACTATTTTGTGGTATTCTTTGAAAGATTGGTTTAAATTATGTAATAATGACTAATAAATAAAAAATTATTTTTTATTGACCTTGATTTTTTTTTCATCTTTTTCTTTCCATTTTTTTTTCTCTCCCAGAGGAAGCATTTCTGTGTTGAAATATATGGTGGAACCATTACTAGAAAAACATGGTTGGTTTTTCTATTACTAATAGTGTTAAATTTTCCTCCGTTGGTCCAATTATAATTTTTCTTAATTTTATTAGTTCTTTTTATACCCTCTTCTCAATGAAGTATGAATAGTGTGTCATTACGTCCATTTGTTTGGATCTTATTCACTTGTGAGCATTTAGGCTTTGTTTACTTGAATGAATTTGGGGGACAATGATTGAATAGATTTGAGAGGATTTGAAAATAAATTTGTTTGTTGTTTATTTGAGTGGATTTAGAGGTAGGTGAGAGTGAATTTGGAAGTAAATTTTTTTAATTTGTTACATTAATCAAATCCTACACTAATTCTCACTTATCTCACTCAAATAAAAAAAATATTATTTTGAAATCTCTCAAATCCACTCAGTCACTCTCTTCCAAATACATTCAAGTAAACAAAAGATCAATATGTGTTTGTTACTATTAAGAGAACTAAGGATGTGTGGGGCAGTGCAACCTGACCTCGGCCCTGTTATGATAACTGAAGTAATTAATTAGTGTTACTTCCAAAGCTTGACTTAATTAACAATAAGCATTGGAAAGACATACATTCATTACTTTTAACTTATCCAAATAAAAAATATTAACCATCCCTATTTGAACTGAAATTAATTATGTAAAGAAAAAAATTTGAACTATTGTTGTTTTAAAAGTTAACTTATAAAATTACAACATAATACTAAATTAGTTTTGTACTAAAAGTTAATTACAACAATATAACACTAAATTTCCAACAAGTAATTATAATTAATAAATGCTGAGATTTGTGTAAATGAAAATACAATCAAATTCAATTTACTTACATTTATAAAAAATAAACATAACTGGAAAATGATAAGTATAAATTGAAATATATAATGAACTGTTAGAAATTCAAATATACCAACATTAAGATTTTTCTTCTTTGATTTTAAATTGGGATAGTTTAGTTTTAAACCTCTCTTATAGAAATAGATAGAAAAATAACAAATAATTTTCCATGTTACTTTTATTTAGAATATTTTAAGTTCAACTTCTTATTTTCCTCTTAATTATTCCATAGTCCAATACATTTTTAACATTTCTATTTCTTTTAAGTTGTTTATATCTATTATGTACATGCCTTTCTATTAAACATTATAACATGAACTTCATGTTGTATTTATTTGGTAGGATTATATTACATAATATACCTACGTTAACAATGAGATATGCATACACATTTTATTTTAATATAACATATAACTCAAAGTTTTATTATAAATTTTAATTATATGATAATATTGTTTTATTATACAATACTAGTCCATTAGTCTATATTTTATAATTCAAAACAAATAAATTTATATTTAAATATTTATTTTTTAATATTATTATTATTAATATTAGTTACATATGATAGATATGTAACTAGTAACCAAATGCAGGGAACTTTATTTAACTTCAAACCCAATTAGCAAAGCAGTAGATTTGACAAATGAATTTTCAATTTCAAAGTTTTATCATGTTTCGCGTAACCGTAACTGCACAACAGTTTTTTCAGTCGAAAATAATAAGCAAAAAAATTAGCCAAACAATGATGTTCAAACGAGAATATCAACCATAAATGAAATGATGATCATGATTATTAGCATTATGCATGTTTAGAGCTTATTTGTATAACTCTTTGTTACCATGTATTGTTATATAATTGAGATTATGTTTATGTAAACAATATTAATGTATAAATATGAAATGTTTATTTGAGGTTTAAGTGTTCTTTGATGTTTACATGCTTTCGTCTTTCAATATTTCTTTTATATATATATATGTCAAGGTATGTCACTAATACAAGCTTTGAGTATTACTCTGTTAGGTGATTATATACAGATAAATTCACATGTAATATTATTTATAATTTTATGTATGGATTTTTATATGTATGTAATTCGTATATAGCACTATTTATATATAAATTTTTGAACTTACATATCACTGTATGCAACTAACGATTTATTTTTAGTAAATATCGATATTATTGTTAGTATTGATAGTATTAGTTGTAATTTTTATAATTCGTTACTTTAAGATAGTGAAATCACTGTTTAAATAATACTATTTATTTTTAATTAATTAGTTGTAGAAAATAATGGTAAACAACTATTCACTATTTAAATAATACTATTTATTTTTAATTAATTAGTTCTAAAAAATAATGGTAAATAACTCTTTAATTTTTTTAATATTATCAAATTCATTAATTAAATATTATACGTATTATGAATATGTGTTTGTTATTAATGAATAATCAGTGGAAACATAATATTGTGTATGTGTGTTATTTATTTTTTATTCTAATAAAAATTTATCAAGTTATAAAATAATTTTTACTATGAATAATTATAAAAATTAATGATTTATATAAATTATTATTGTAAAATATCTTTATTATAAATAATCATTTAAATTGAAAAATAGTTCTTAAAAAATAAAATAATAAAATAACTACTTTAATCTATAAAATAATAAAATTTTGATTTTAATTTAAAACAATGATTACTTCAAATATAAAGTAAAAAAAAGTATATAAAATAATTCCTTAATACATTGCCATAGATAAACAAATATTAACAGCATTACAAAACTTGTACCATGACTTCTGTTTGATTTGGATCAACAACACCGATAGAATTAAGGGTGAGTCCTAGATATTCCCGAAGAATCAGCGAGTACTGGTTCCAAATCTCGGAGTGTTTAGCTCCACACCAAGTTGACAATTGCCATTTCAGTTCTTAATCCGTCCTACCATGACTTCTCTTTCTGCCCTAAATATCTCTCTGCAATATCCTCCTGCTCGCAGAGACGACACCGTCCTTGAAGATTACCATGGCGTCAAAATTGCCGATCCTTACCGATGGTACTCAAATCAAATTCAATTGTTATTGTTGCTCTATTCGGATTAGTTTTTCTCTATACTTCCAATTAATTCCAAAAAGTTATAAAACACCGGTCTGAAAATTATAGAGACAAATTTCCTCCAAATGTCTTTATATGCATTTAGTCTATTCTAATTTATCTATTTTGGTTTAAGGCTCGAAGACCCTGATGCGGAAGAAGTGAAAGAGTTCGTACAGGAACAGGTTAAACTGACGGATTCGGTTCTTCAAAAATGCGAAACGAGAGACAAGCTTAGGGAAGCGATAACGAAGCTTTTTGACCATCCTCGTTACCACGCGCCGTTTAGACGAGCGGATAAGTACTTCTACTTTCACAACACTGGGCTTCAGGCACAAGATATCCTTTATGTGCAGGTTTGGTAGCTAATTTATTACGCGTTCAATGTTTGTTTGTTTTTAAGTTTCTCGGATTCAATTATACATTGAGCTATTTCAGGAGAGTTTGGAGGGTGAGGCAGAGGTGTTACTCGATCCCAATGGCTTCAGTGAAGACGGAACTATGGCGCTGAGTACTCTGTCAGTAAGTTACTTGAGTGATGTAAAGTATGTTCTGCAAGTTAGAGACTTAAAAACAGGTTTCTTTCTGCACCAATATGTTATAAATAAATAAAATTAAAAAACAATAATTTTAAAAATAAAATTTTACTGAGGGGCAAAATAGTAAAGGAAAGGTGGAGGAAAGGGCAAAAAAGTAAAGGGGAGGTGGAGGAAGAGATGTGTGGGGGTGGAGGGAGCAACTCCCATTGTTTCAGGCTCCGTTTGACCCATCAAGCTTGGCTAAATCGGCTCAAAATTTCTTAGGTCAACCTTTTTAGTTTAACTCTAATTTGGTACGTCAAATTGGATATAATTTTTGTAAAAGTTTACTAATTTATTTTAAAGCTAAAATTAAAAAAAAAACTCCAAATTATCCTAAACTTAAAGTCTAATTTTTGAAAATTAAAACTGATTATAATATATATTTCAAATTGTTAAACTTATAATTATCAACACGTGTCAACCTTTTAATATTTAGTATAGTAGTTCGTTTTGACAACATACAATACATGACACCTCGTTTGCATGATTTGCTGCGATGAAAAAATTATCTGTCGAGCTTAATGCAATTTACTTAATTTAATTTGGTGTTGTGTAGGTAATTTTTTTCATATTTCAATACGATTTCTACAATCTTTCCACACATACATACATATATATATATATATATATA